AAGAAAGAAAGAAAGAAAGAAAGAAAGAAAGAAAGAAAGAAAGAAAGGAAGGAAGGAAAGACCTGAAGTGAAAGTTTCTGGTTTTCTTTGGAAACTCCGTTGTGTCATATGAATATGGTTTTTTGTTTGTTTGTTTGTTTGTTTGTCCCAAGTGTGGGATGTGGGAATGTTTTTTTTTTCCCCTTCCGAAAACAGCCCCTGTGGAAAACAGCCCCTGTGAGAGGGCATGTGCTGCTGTCAGCTGAAAGCTGCCTCCCGCTAAGGGCGTGGCATTTGTGAGCTATGAAACATCCTCTTCTGTACTCTGAGAAGGACAAATAGAAGCCCACAGACACTGAGACAATGCTTGCTGCATCTCTACGCTTTTGTGCTGCTAAGGTTCACATCCTTCGCTGGTTTTTGCAGAGAGAAACGATCCAGAGAACTACTCAGGCTGCTTTGGCGGTTTGGTGTACTCTTGCCATTTGGGCAGAGTCTAGCTGCTTCTATTGAGTCTTTCACTGCTGCTGGTGTGTGTTGCTGCTGCTACTTTGCTATTTGACTAGACTACTGGTATCCTGAAGACTGAGTTTGGTAATCCCCAAAGTATCCATTGACCCTTATCCAAAAGAAGTAGATAAAAGAGATCTACAGGCCCTTTCCCTATTAATCTTCTACTTAAGGTCTCCTCATAGCACACCTTCTAAAGAAGATCAAACTTTCATTGCTCTCTATTTCCTGTCACTAAGCTATTCTTTTTTTTTTTTTTTAACAAATTTTTCAATTTACATGGATGTTTTGCCTCCATGTATGTCTGTGTGAGGGTGTCAGATCCCCTGGAACTGGAATTACAGACAGTTGTGAGCTGCTATGTGGGTGCTGGCATTTGAGCCTGGGTCCTTCAGAATTGCAGCCAGAGCTCTTAACCGCCAAGCCATCTCTCCAGGCACCCACTAAACTATTCTTGATAAAAGAGACCCCATTCTTTCTTCCACATGTTTATTTAAATATTTAAATTGCCTTCTCCTAGAAAGCTTTATCAAAGGCCTAATGGACAGGTCTGAGTTGATTAGGGTGACTGTCTTTTTTTTTTCTCAAGGAACTTCAATGTCTTCTCTCTCCTGCACCTTTTGGTGGGTGAAGGTGATTGCACACTCCTTCTATTGGGATCCCTGAGGTCTCCCTCTCCAATGAACTTGTCCACATTTCTTGCCTGGGACAGCTACTCTGGCATTCACCTATTGTTTATTCCGTGGATGCACCTCACAGCCTCTCTGAGATGATCATCACATATGCACTGCTATCCTCTACCCGGGTCCCTTCCAGCCAAGAGCTGAGCAAATAAGAGGGTGGTGAAGATTCTTATTTAATTGAAAGGAAGAAGCCTGCCTCCACTCTACCCTGCCCAAGTCAGGGCTTCCCGCTGATATCTGAGACAAATGCTGCTTGTGTCATAACCAAGATGCATCATCTTTTATGCTCCA